GCAGACAAGAGTAAATTACAGGAAAAGGCACAAAAACCTATTACAGTAGAGGGAAAGAAGGGAGGGAGATGAGCATTGTGTGAACTTTATTCTCATCAGATTTGGTTCAAGGATGGAATAACATAATCAGTTAGGTATAGAAATCTAACTTGCCCTGTGAGGGACTGTCTGATGTTGGCAACTGCCAGGTGGGGTGCTGTGGCAAGATTAGGGTAAGATCTGGGTATTTGGAAGTCGAGGCAGGGGCTGTGGTAGGCGGAGTCGTGGTGGACTGGGATGGGCTGGGTACAGAGAAGCCATGAGGCAGTGGGCAGTGCTATGTGAAATAAACTGGGTGCAAGGAAGTAGCCAGAGCTTGTGCTCCTGAGGCAAGGGGCGGTGCCACGTGGGAGTGGGACGGCAGAGGATGAGTTCCCTTTGCTTAGTCCCCTCCCTATATGCAACGTCAACCCCAGACGCCTCCTTCCTGTGACCATCCTGACTTCCTGAGTCCCTTTGTGTAGCACTGACCCCAGATGCCTCCTTCCTGTGTCCTTCCTGACTTCCTAGGTCATGTACTCTGTCTATGCACTAATCCCAGACACCTCCTTCCTGTATCCGGTCCTAGCCTCCTGCGTCACTCCCTCTCCCTTGGCGTGCTAAACTCAGACAGCCCCTTCCGGTATCTGACCCTACATTCATTGGCTAGTAAGCGGGCTGGGGAGGAGGGGCTAAGTAGGTACTTAAGGAACGAGGTGGTCAGATCACGCGCTCTCTTTGCTCCTGCTCTGTTGCTCTGGCCTTCCTGCTTGGCCTTGCTGTGATGGCCTCTGAATAAAGCTCTGGTGTTGGCAGCCTCCCAATGGGTCCGTCTCTGTGTGTGTTTATCCAGATGAGGACCGAAGACTGGTGAGTGAGTATGACTCTGGCAGCCTGCTCCTTATAGGAGGAGTATTCGGCGCGGCCGGCATAAGGTCGGTGCGGCCGGTACATTGCCCTATAGGAAGTAGGAGGGAAAAGGGAAAGAAAAGGAAGGGGGGATAGAAGGGAGGGGAGAAGTAGTAAGGGTAAAGGAGAAGAAAAGGGAGGGGGTTAATAGAAGGGAGGCAGGACTGAGGGAGGCAGGGGTTAAAAGCAAAACACTAGTGAGGAGGGAAAGGGAGAAAGGAGAAAGAAAAGCATAAACAAGGGGGAATAGGATGGAGAGAAAGACACAGATAATAATCACAACAGTGAATGTGAATGGGATGAACTCTCCCATGAAACAGAAGTGGACAGCAGAATGAATTAAAAACCATAATCCTACAATATGTTGTTTACAGGAAACACATTCGAAACAAAGGGACACACCCAAGGTAAAGGTAAAAGGCTGGAATAGAATATATTATGCTTCAGTTGAAGTAAAAAAAAGCAGGGATAGCAATCCTGATCTCAGACAAAGCAAAAGCAGAAGTAGAACTTATCAAAAGAGATGAGGAAGGAAACTACATCCTGCTAAAAGGCACCATAGACAACAAACTATTATCATTACTAAACATATATGCACTAAGTGGAATAGCATCCAATTTCTTAGAGAAGAAGTTCAGGGAGTTACAGGAAGAAATAGACAGCAAAACTATACCAGTGAGGGACCTCAACCTCCCCCTCTCTGAACTAGATAAATCTAACCACAAAATAAACAAGAAAGAAGTTAAGGAGGTGAATAGAATATTAGAAAAGTTAGGTATGGTAGATCTCTGGAGAAAACTGAATGGGGATAGAAAGGAATATACTTTTTTCTCAGTGGTACACGGCACATACAGAAAAATTGACCATGTACTAGGGTATAAAAACCTCACAATCCAATGCAGAAAGGGAGAAATATTAAATACATCCTTTTCAGATTATGATGCAATAAAAATTACATACAAACATGGATCAAAGATTTAAAATATAGAGGGATCACTTTACATATAAGAAAACTGAAGCTTAAAGACATTAAGTGACTCCTCAGGCTCATATCAGCATCTAAGGCAGAATTCTAACTCAGATCTTCCTGACACCAAGTCCAGCACTCTATCCTCTACATTAAGTTGTGTCTGTTTAATATGTGTTTGTTTAATTGGTTTGAAATGAAGGTGCTCATTGAACTTTCAGCTTCTATGCTTAACAAATGTTTGTTCAATTTGGACTGAATTGAAGAAACGTTAGTATTGATCTTCAGCCTGCTCCAGTTTGGTATCCATCACTGTGCTCATTCCTCTGCCAAATGAAGACAATGCTTTCTGCCAAGGCTTTTTATGGGAAGACAAGACTGGCACAGGATGGGCAGGCAAGGGTGGTTTCCATCTAAATCACTGGAAGGAACTTTGGAATGGATGAGATCACAGATGGTTCTGAGTGTTTAGAATATACTTCGTTTGGGAGAAACAGCATCATGTTGTAAAGAGATGGTTAGTCTTAAGAGTGAGGAAGAGGGGCGGCTAGGTAGTGCGGGGGATAGAGAACCAGCCCTGGAGTCAGGAGGATCTGAGTTTAAATTCGGCCTCAGACATGTAACACTTACTAGCTGTGTGACTCTGGGCAAGTCACTTAACCCCAACTGCCTTGCTAAAAAAAAAAAAAAAGGAGTGAAGAAGGACCTGGGTTCAGGTCTCGCCTCTGACATATACAAGCTGTATGTTAACCTATCACTTTCAGGGAACTGTTTTAAAACTATACCTTATAGATAAACAGCTGATCTACATCAGTGAAGGGAGATTCTATAGTGAGAATTTTCCACATTGATGAAATCATAAATCCAAACCAAAACACAACAACTACCGAAATCTCCTTTTAATGTGTTGTTGCTTATAGATCTTACTAAAGTGCCTACATTTTATGGTGAGAAAGGCTATGAAGTAGATGAGAAAAGAAATCTTTGATTTAAAATTTGTAATACCGTGAGTTACACACACACAGGCTGACACCCGTAAAATGAGCACCTAGCTATGAATAATGACAATAGACAAACAATCTCCAAGTTTTTCTGGAACTATCAGTTCTGACAGGTAGAGAATAGAGATGCCTGCTCTGATAACATTGCCAGAAGAGTTGAGAGACAGGGCCTGACTCCTGATGGCCTGCTCCAGAAGCTGGTTCTATTCTGACTCAGCCTGACATTTCTGATCTACTCTGGATCAAGCCCCAAATAGATCACTTAAATGAAGACAGATACTCATGTAATTCCTAGTTGCAGTTAGCCTGGCCTAGAATAAGGAAGGCTTGAGTTCAAATCCAGGTTCAGATACTTACTAGCTGTGTGATCTGGGCAAGTCACTTAACCTCTACCTGCCTCAGTTTCCTCAACTGTAAAATGGGGATAGTAACAGCACCTACCTTCCAGGGTAGTGGGGACCAAATGAGATATTTGTAAAGTCCTTAGCATGGTGTCTGGAACATAGTAGGTGTTTAATAAACGCTTGTTCCATGATTGGTTGGGGAGTCATTTTAGGATTTGGTTTTTCCTTCAGATAGAGCCTACATGTAGGACTTCTAGTATCAACACGGTATAGAACTGAGCTATCAGATTTGAGATCCCACAACTTGAACTTGTGATGTATCAAAGTACAGCCTTTAGGCCTAGTCTATTTTGACTCTAAGCTAGGCTCCAAGAACATTACGTTAGAGTCTGCACCCAGGGAATTTTATCATGCTTTTTAAATCAAACAATTATAGGATATTAAAATCATGGCTAACATGACAGAAAAGGAAAATGACAAATGCTGAAGGGTATGTGGAAAGATTGGGACACTAATGCACTATTGGTAGAGTTATGAACTGGTCCAGCAATAGCTGGAGAACAATTTGGAACTATGCCCAAAGGGCTATAAAACTATGCTTATCTTTTGACTAAGCAATACCATTACTTAGTAACCCAAAGAGATGAAAGAAAAACGGAAATATGTACAAAAATATTTAAAGCAGCTCCTTTTGTAGGGGTATAGAATTTAAAATTAAGGGGGTGACCCTCAATTGGGAAATGGTTGAACAAGTTGTGGTATATGATTGTGATGGAATACTATTGTACTATAAAAAATGATGAGGGGGATGGTTTCAGAAAAACATGGGAAAACTTTTATGAACTGATGCAAACTGAAGTGAGCAGAACCAGGAAACCATTATACACAGTAACAGGAATATTGTAAGGATGTTTTCTTGTTCATCCTTCATTTTCAAAGAGGATCAATGACATCGTGGTGTGATATCTTGACTGCAAAGGAATTAGATTGAAGGGAGGCAGAGTTGCACAAAATCCTCAACCTCACTCTCTCTTCCTGAGTCATTGAAGTTCAGTGGCAAGACAAAAGTAAGGACAACTGACAATAACCCAATATGCTGTGGATGACCTTGGAGTCTTCAATGCTTGACCAAGTTCTAAGTGTTCCACGGTGCCTGCTTCAGCCACCTTCATGGCCATTGGAATAAATTGTTCTCATCTGCCCATTCCACCAGGGAAAGTCTTCAGATGCTTGGGGTAGACATCCCCCTAATTCACTGGCAGGTTTGAAGTCTGTTGGTTACCCTCAACCTGGCTTAGCCCATCTGCCAAGAGAGTTTACCAGGTTGTGGCTACCACACATGATACAGCTTTTTGGAGCCACAGGTGAGAGTTGGATGACAGGTGGACACCAAAGATGGACATGGATGAGCAGCTCTCATACAAGAGATGCGAGTTGTCCCTAAACATCCCATACACCCCATTTAGTAACTATAAGATAGGGGAGGCATGGCTAGCCAATGGTTTGTCTGAAAAGTTAAGTGGATTTTAGAGGACCACACACTCAATATGAATATAATATGGTAGACAAAAACAGCTCATATAGCCTAGGGCTACATTAGGAGAGGCAGAGCTCCCAAGAATCAGAAAGTGATAAGACTGTAGGACTCTGCCCTTCTGAGAACACATTTGGAAAATTGTGTCCTGTTTGCGGTACCACATTTTGGCAGGACCAAGGATTAGCTGAAGTAAGCCCAGAGAAGGGCCACCAGAATGGTGAAGGCCTTCAAATTAATACCATATGGAAGTCAGTGGAAGGAACTAGAGATATTTAGCCTGGAGAAAAGAATATTTGTTGAGATAGAGAAGGAAGAGATAAGATAAGGGTCTTCCAGTATTTCAAGGACAGTCAGATCAACTGTGAAAGACTTAGCTACTTTGATCAAGACAATTCCAAAAGACCCCTGATGAAAAATGCTATCTGTCTCCAGAGATAGAACTGATGAACTATTGAGTATAGACTGAAGCATGCTTTTTTTTTTACTTTATTTTTCTTGTTCCTTTGTGTGTTTTCTTTTGCAACATGGCTAATATGGAAATATGTTTGACATGACTTCACACATATAATTGATATATTGCTTGCCTTCTCAGGAGGGTGGAGGGGAGAGACCGAATCTGGAAATCAGCGTTTTAAAAATGAACGTTAAAATATTTTTACATGTAATTGGGAAATATTTAACAAAATAAATAAAAATATATTAAACCAATAATAAAAGAAAGCAAATTGCCATCCACACCAGAGAAAGAGCTGATGACCTCTGAGCACGGATTAAAACTTTTTTTTCACTTGTTTTATTTTTCTTGCTTTTTTTTTTCTTTTTGCAACATGGCGAATATGAAAGTATGTTTTGCATGACTTCATATGTATAATGGGTATCATATTGCTTGCCTTCTCAATGGGTGGGGAAGGTGGGGGAGGGAGGGAGAGAATTTGGAGCTCAAAAAAAGTTAAAAAGTAAAAATTTTAAAAATAATTTTAAAATCGTAAAGGACATTATTTGTATTCATCAAACTAAATTAAAAATTAAACTTTTTTTAAAAAAAGATTAACTAAACTTTAATTTAAAACTTTTTTTAAACTTTTAAAATGAGACAAAATGCCAAATTTTTT